CTGCCCAATACTGTCACTATGGCGGTGTGTCCACTCACAGGATGAGTGGCGCTGCCCAATACTGTCACTATGGCGGTGTGTCCACTCACAGGATGAGTGGCGCTGCCCAATACTGTCACTATGGCGGTGTGTCCACTCACAGGATGAGTGGCGCTGCCCAATACTGTCACTATGGCGGTGTGTCCACTCACAGGATGAGTGGCGCTGCCCAATACTGTCACTATGGCGGTGTGTCCACTCACAGGATGAGTGGCGCTGCCCAATACTGTCACTATGGCGGTGTGTCCACTCACAGGATGAGTGGCGCTGCCCAATACTGTCACTATGGCGGTGTGTCCACTCACAGGATGAGTGGCGCTGCCCAATACTGTCACTATGGCGGTGTGTCCACTCACAGGATGAGTGGCGCTGCCCAATACTGTCACTATGGCGGTGTGTCCACTCACAGGATGAGTGGCGCTGCCCAATACTGTCACTATGGCGGTGTGTCCACTCACAGGATGAGTGGCGCTGCCCAATACTGTCACTATGGCGGTGTGTCCACTCACAGGATGAGTGGCGCTGCCCAATACTGTCACTATGGCGGTGTGTCCACTCACAGGATGAGTGGCGCTGCCCAATACTGTCACTATGGCGGTATGTCCACTCACAGGATGAGTGGCGCTGCCCAATACTGTCACTATGGCGGTGTGTCCACTCACAGGATGAGTGGCGCTGCCCAATAAATTCGCCCCTCGGAGCAAAATTTAAAACCACACAAACACTGCTACTTGGTTATTCATCTTGGATGGATTTGTGATTTTAGAGAGGAGCTTTTGCCTCACATGTAATTCCACATCTGACACACAAATGCTCTGATGCACATGTGGTAATCATATACATGTACCTGATAACCTCTACACACTACATCATATACCTGATTTACTACACTACACACACACACGTGACAACACGCCTGACGCATAACTGCACTACACATGTGGTAATCTAACACCTGACACATAATGCACTACACATGTGATCCCTCGTTAGAACACAATGGTTTTCAGGCACCGTTACCGACATGGTTATCGAGTTACGCGTTTAACGCATTCACCCTTCTGTCTGTCCGTTGGTGGGTTACAAGGGGCAGTGCGCTGGCTGCTGACACCAGGAGATACTCAGCTGCTGACACCAGGAGACTCTCAGCTGCTGACGCCAGGAGACAGTCAGCTGCTGACACCAGGAGACTCTCAGCTGCTGACACTAGGAGACTCTCAGCTGCTGATACCAGGAGACTCTCAGCTGCTGACACCAGGAGACTCTCAGCTGCTGACACCAGGAGACTCTCAGCTGCTGACACTAGGAGACTCTCAGCTGCTGACACTAGGAGACTCAGCTGCTGACGCCAGGAGACACTCAGCTGCTGACGCCAGGAGATACTCAGCTGCTGACACCATGAGACACTCAGCTGCTGACGCCAGGAGACAGTCAGCTGCTGACACCATGAGACACTCAGCTGCTGACACCAGGAGACTCTCAGCTGCTGACACCAGGAGACACTCAGCTGCTGACGCCAGGAGACAGTCAGCTGCTGACGCCAGGAGACTCAGCTGCTGACACCAGGAGATACTCAGCTGCTGATGCCAGGAGACACTCAGCTGCTGACACCAGGAGACTCTCAGCTGCTGACACCAGGAGATACTCAGCTGCTGACGCCAGGAGATACTCAGCTGCTGACGCCAGGAGACACTCAGCTGCTGACACCAGGAGATACTCAGCTGCTGACACCAGGAGATACTCAGCTGCTGACGCCAGGAGATACTCAGCTGCTGACGCCAGGAGATACTCAGCTGCTGACGCCAGGAGATACTCAGCTGCTGACGCCAGGAGATACTCAGCTGCTGACGCCAGGAGATACTCAGCTGCTGACGCCAGGAGACACTCAGCTGCTGACGCCAGGAGATACTCAGCTGCTGACGCCAGGAGACACTCAGCTGCTGACGCCAGGAGATACTCAGCTGCTGACGCCAGGAGATACTCAGCTGCTGACGCCAGGAGACATGCAGCTGCTGACACCAGGAAATACTCAGCTGCTGACGCCAGGAGACATGCAGCTGCTGACACCAGGAAATACTCAGCTGCTGACACCAGGAGATACTCAGCTGCTGACGCCAGGAGATACTCAGCTGCTGACGCCAGGAGATACTCAGCTGCTGACACCAGGAGACACTCAGCTGCTGACGCCAGGAGATACTCAGCTGCTGACGCCAGGAGACAGTCAGCTGCTGACACCAGGAGACTCTCAGCTGCTGACACTAGAAGACTCAGCTGCTGACACCAGGAGACTCTCAGCTGCTGACACTAGGAGACTCTCAGCTGCTGACACTAGGAGACTCAGCTGCTGACGCCAGGAGATACTCAGCTGCTGACACCAGGAGATACTCAGCTGCTGACACCAGGAGATACTCAGCTGCTGACGCCAGGAGATACTCAGCTGCTGACGCCAGGAGATACTCAGCTGCTGACGCCAGGAGATACTCAGCTGCTGATGCCAGGAGACACTCAGCTGCTGACACCAGGAGATAATCAGCTGCTGACGCCAGGAGATACTCAGCTGCTGATGCCAGGAGACACTCAGCTGCTGACACCAGGAGATACTCAGCTGCTGACGCCAGGAGATACTCAGCTGCTGACGCCAGGAGACATGCAGCTGCTGACACCAGGAAATACTCAGCTGCTGACACGGGAGATACATAATCTGCTGACACAGGAGATACATAATCTGCTGACACAGGATACATAATCTGCTGACACAGGAGATACATAATCTGCTGACACAGGAGATACATAATCTGCTGACACAGGAGATACATAATCTGCTGACACAGGAGATACATAATCTGCTGACACCAGGAGACATTCGCTGCTGATATCAGGGGACAGGCAGCAGCTGACGACATATATTTGTACTTTCTGTAATATATTCTAAAAATATGCCCCGCACACCAATTTTTATTAATATTAACGTAATTGTTGTTGATAATAGTGACATTCAACCGCCTCTTTAACTCTGAAACTGCTCAGTTAATTGGAAGTACATCTACTTAAATTCTCTTCCTTCATAGTTATGACTGTTGTTACTGGTTTCAAGAATTCGCACGTGTAACTATCCCCCAAAAAACGCTTTAAAGCGTTGTTAGCACCCTGAAGGCTAAGCACTCATATGTAGGTGGATTTATTTTAAGTTTAGTTTTCATTATTTTGCGTGGCGGCATCTTGTTTTTTTTTTCTAAGCAACGATACTCCAAGGTCTATCTAAGCACCCCATTAGCACCTTGATAATGTGCTGATAGCCTCTTCAGATATCCTCGTTTTCTAGCGCATTTACCAGCAACATCATTCATGCTGACGTAGTTGAGATATCCCATTGCTCTACGAATGATAAACTGTAAGTTAAATGTGAAATAGTTCTTGCCTAACCTTGTGCTACGACCGGAAACACAATGCCTGTTAAGAGGCTTTGCCAAGTAGTTCTTGCCCACTCTTGAGCTAAACCCGAGGCGCAATGGCTGTTAGTACCATCTACTCACTCACTACGTTGGTACGAAATAGCCTCTTGTACTTTCTTATACTTAATATGAAAACATTATTCATAATATTGTCAGTGTAACAAGAAGAATATTGCCACTCATTATAAATCATTCTGCGGATGATGAGTCACAATAACGTGGCTGAAGAAATGTTAACCAAACCACACACTAGAAACTGAAGAGGCGACGACGTTTCGGTCCGTCCTGGACCATTATCAAGTCGATTGTTAAGAGATGAGTTTGTTGTTGTTTTAGATTCAGCTACTGGGAACAAAAGTTCCAAGTAGCACGGGCTATGGTGAGCCCGTGGTGGACTTACCCGGCACAGGAGCGAGGCTGTAACTGAAGAGACGAGGGAGGCACGGACATCAGCAAGGCAAGAGAGAGGTAAGGAGGAAATCTTAGAGGAAGGAGCAAGGCGAAAGGTACGGAAGGGATAAGTGTAAGGGTGTAACAAAAGGAGTAAGAATGGGAGCGTAAGAAAAAGAAGAGACAGAAAAAGGAGAAAAAAGGATGCTTATGTTAGGTCACGTTTGTTAGAAAGTTTTGAACATTTGAGTATGTACTGTGAAAGGGAAGAGTCAACAGCAACAATGCCATGGCTAAAGTTCATATTTGGCTGGTTACGTATCAGAGCCGATTCGACAAAACGGCGTCTGTGAAGAGTAGAGGCAGGAAAGATTATTTTAGAAGACCAATCAATAAGATGATTAGACTTCCTAACATGGCAGAAGAGTCATGTTATCTACTATAAATCTTTCGAGTTATATCATAATAATCCAACGATATTTGAAATTTCCCTAGTTCGAAATACAGAATAAACCTGTCTAACCCAGTATAAGCGTCGTAAAGCTTTCGTGTAAATGTATAATTCCTACAGAATATTATAGTTACTTTCCGAAATAGAAAAGCTGTCACCATTTCAAAATTTCTCCTATTGTGATTCTGTCATAATCCCATAATTATATTTTAACTTTCCCGCCAGCGCCCACGGGATAATCATGGAGTACATCATGTGCTTATTAAACTAACTTGGGAACAGTTTAACGTTTCGTCAAATTAACTTCAAACTGTATACGTTCCTTCAAGTGTTTTGTGTATGACTTGTATGTGTTGTGCATGATACGTGCATACCTCGCTCTCTAGTGACTGTATAATTTATCTATAGTATCTCCCCACATAGTAGGCCTATGGTATCTCCCCACATAGTAGACCTATGGTATCTTACATCAACGTTGCCTCCATCCTCTCATCAATATTCTCATCTGTGATCAATCACCTTTCTCTCACACACTTTCTACTTTCTTTTATCACATACAGTTCTCTCTTTCTCAACCTAAATTCTAATGCTGTAGAGGATACAATTTTATGTTCATCACACAGCCTAAAATCGTAGATTTAAACAAATTTCTCATTCGGTCTACCCACCTTAATAGTCTGGTCGTCAGGTTGACCTCGCTTGGCTGCTACTCTGTTCTTTCTCTTCTTCCCGCGGTCACTGTCTCTGCTCATGGTAACTCCTGGGGGTGTGTCAGGCCCTGTTCCTCACCAGGGCCGCCTCCTCACTGACTCTGAAGGCCTGCACACGCCCACTGGTACAAAAAATTGTCGCATGCTTGGCTTTTATTCACTTTTTCTCTCTCGTAGCGTAGTCTGTCTTTTACAATTTTCTTTTTTTATTTTGGTTGGAGATTTTACCCCAGTATTATATTTCCCATGGAATTTACGCTTCAAAACTTAAACTTTCGTTCGTTTTTAGGGCATGGGGGGAGAGGGGGCAGAGTCTGATTGGTTTCGTTAAGAATTTAGGCATAAAGGATATGAGAATTAGGAGTTCTTGTGCGCCAAAGCACATTTGACTGGAACTTATCATGTTGACTAGGCTTCTCAGTCATTTACGATCATAACATACTGTAGAAATTGATTAGGATTTTTCATATGATGCATGAAGCAGATTCACTGAAATCTTGAAGAGTTATTAGCAATAGATATTATTCTATAACTATTTGCAAGAATATAAATGTACGCATCGCGATGACTTTGCAGTACCAGTCTCATTTGCCGGTGCAGTCAATGATAGATCACTGGATGTATTAATTATAAATTCATTATATTCGTCAATCACATGTATTACAATGACAGTTATGTTCTGTTCTTAAGCGTTCTTGCACCGCATATAGGGTAATTTGATCATAAAAAATAGTAATTTTAAACTGATCATCACTGCAATACTTTTGTAAACAGGATAATTCTCACAGAGAAAAATAAATCTCCCAAACATTTACAAGTAAATGGAAAAAAAATAAGTGAATGTACGACTTCTTAAACAATCTCTTCAGAAACTTTGGTTTTGTTTGTCGACTACAGTTGCCTCCACTGTATCTTTCACACCACACTGTACTAATAACTTCACCCAGTAGACACTGAAGGGAACTAAACTGTACCACTTTTTTGACCTTGGCGAAGGCGCATTGAAAGGTAACTTGTATGTAGAAGAGCACCACCACCACCACCACCACCACCACAGTCCCGCAGAGTGTCAAACCATACGTGCTTCCCCCTCGCCGGCTCGATCACTACTGACGGTGTTTGTGTGTGTGTGTGAGTTTGTCAGCCTCTTGCCCTGACACTCGTCAACACACACACACACACACACGCCAGGTTAGCCAGGCGTGGGAGGGGCGCCGTCACTCACACAATCTTTTCTAAACCATTAGATTGTTACCCGCCGGAAGCGGTTAGTTTATTGTGCACCTTATACTTATCCTGTGAGCGTTAGTTTATTGTGCACCTTATACTTATCCTGTGAGCGGTAGTTTATTGTGCACCTTATACTTATCCAGTGAGCGGTAGTTTATTGTGCACCTTATACTTATCCTGTGAGCGGTAGTTTATTGTACACCCCATACTCATCCTGTGAGCGATAGTTTATTGTTCAACTCATACGCATCCTGTGAGCGGTAGTTTATTGTTCACCTCATACTCATCCCTTGAGTGGTAGTTTATTGTGAACCCCATACTCATCCTGTGAGCGGTAGTTTATTGTGCACCCCATACTCATCCTGGGAGCGGTAGTTTATTGTTCACCTCATACTCATCCCTAGAGTGGTAGTTTATTGTGAACCCCATACTCATCCTGTGAGCGGTAGTTTATTGTGCACCCCATACTCATCCTGGGAGCGGTAGTTTATTGTTCCCCTCATACTCATCCTCTGAGCGTTAGTTTATTGTTCACCTCATACTCATCCTGTGAGCGGTAGTTTATTGTGCATCCTATACTTATCCTGTGAGCGGTAGTTTATTATGCACCCAATACTCACCCTGTGAGCGGTAGTTTATTGTGCACCCATACTCATCTTGTGAGTGGTAGTTTATTTTGCACCCTATACTTATCCTGTGAGCGGTAGTTTATTGTGCATCTCATACTCATCTCATGAACGGTAGTTTATTGTGCACCCCATACTCATCCTGTGAGTGGTAGTTTACTGCGCACGTGATGGAGGAATTAATAGATAGAGGGGTATATCGTGAAGGAGGTACGAGTTAAAAAAGCATTCAACAAGCCAACCCGGATTTAAGTTTTTTCAACCACTGAAGTCGAGTACACATTCTTAACATATTTTCAAGATACCCTATTTGTGCAGTTACCCTAGACTATATGAAGGGGAGCACTGCGTGTCCAAAAAAAAAAAATACCTACGTGATGCTAAAATCCCCATCACACAGGATGGTTAGTCATACAAAGCATGTGATCAGTAGTCTGCACTGGAAGACTGTGTGTGCATTATGAGGCTATCATCAACACAAGAATGAATAAGGTAGCAGTGGTACTAAAAGTCCCCATCTCACAGGATTGTTAGTCATACATGTTCAGTAGCCTGCACTGGCAAATTTTGGGTGTAATATGAGGATATCTTTAAGAACACGAGAGTGAATAAAGTAATTGCAACGCTCCAGGTACCTCATGCCAACTGGTCTGAATGGTCAAATAACTGGGCATTCGGTGACGTAATGTGGGAGATCATGCCGCAGTTCTTGCTCACAGAGTTTGCACCTGGAGTGCTCAGGATTGGCAGATCCGTCACCTGTAGCCACCTGCCACAGGTAACGGTAACCCAACCTGATCCTGGCAACCACTGTGTCGCACAGTCTGGTGGACGTTTTGTGCTGCCCATAAACATAGGTTTCAAATCTGAACAAATTGTAGCTTTTTTTACAGGTGCTTTCAGGTCGTTGGGAGTCAGTAATTTCTCTCCTATCAGACCTGAGTGTTTGGTATAATACAGTTTTGACAGCAGAGATGGGGATACCTAGGTCTAATTCAACTTTATCTTTGTTACACGCTAATTTATATGCAATATCTGTATCAATATGATGGAACCCCGGATTCCTGATTGTCGGTCAATAACGAAGCGAACTTTTGCAACCCCGTGGACGAAAGGGATATGCTTATAAAGTACTCGGATACAAGTCACATCGTACACAAGACAGTTCACCAACAAATTTTAAAACCTCCCTAACTTAGCTTAATCTATACCAACTCAATCGAGCCTGATACAGCCTAATCAAAGCTAATGAATCCTAACCTAACAACTTATACAGGTTTAACAAATAGAAAACAAGGCTTGTCGAATAGATTTGCTATTGATTTAACCATTCCACTCGTACACAGGCGAATAGTTCAATTTTTTATTTGCTTCTAAACTATTATTAGGCTAGGCTCGGTTAGGTTGAGTTAGATTGGGTTAGGTTAGGTTAGATATATTTAGCTAAAGTGGGTTGGAATAGGTGAATTAGATCTGAAAGCACAGAAAATGAGCTAACCCTCAAATACGTATTCTGAGTCCATTGAATACCCCTGATTTCCTGACTGACTGTTATTACAGTTTCCAACTGAACATTCTGATTGACTGTCAGGGAAGTTTTGAATTTCCTATTCTGAATGACTGTTAGGGAAACTTTGAACTCCATAGCCTGATTGAGTGTCAGGGAATCTTTGAACTTCATATGATTGACTGTTAGGGAAGCATCCAGTTTGGCATTCTGATTGACTGTCAGGGCATTTGCCTGTTTGGGATTTTTATTGGCTGTCCAAGCCACTCATAACTAATAAGAGCATTCGTCTCATTAAAGTTCTATATAACAATGTGGGTTCAAAAGACCTTAACAAGAACATATTGATGAAAGTTAATGTAACATTCATTTTTGCCGTTTTTATCCTGTGGTGGTGTACGCACAATTCAAGGGACAAATGACGCGCTCAGTTTTACCGGTGCCTTTGAAGTAGCTTTTGAGATCAATACCAGGTCGACCAGTGAATGAAATTCTTGGTTAACCCCAATAAAATACAACGCCCCTTCTTCCTTTATGTATTTACCCCTTCAGCCACCAACCTGATACCTCTCTTCCATCACCTGAATATTGTCAACTTTAAACTAGTGACAACAGACACAACACAAGTAATTCAATACCATGGGGTCAGCAGTCATCCTACACCCAGCGTATACTGCCTTTTTTGTCCACCATTCCCTTGGTTCCTTTATATATTATTCTCTTGCTCTCTCTCTCTCTCTCTTTCGTCTTTATCTCTTTCTTTCTCGGGAAACGTCTCAATAACGGAATTTTTGTTATAAGATATTCATGAACTTTAATAGTTATAATAATCTCGTGTGGATCCCGAATACAAGAAAGCGGTATACTTTGTTAAGACGCGTCAATGTCTCTCATCAACGTAAACTATGTGGATGGGGGAGAGCAAGAGAGCTCCAAGGAATAGGCGAGCCATAAAACGGGATTATCCACGCTATTATATCCAACCCTAATGATTTCTTTACTTTGTCTAAAGCAAAGGAACTTTTACGGTAGGCGTCGATAGCGTAAAAAAATGTGGTGCGGGAATTTAGTTTTTGTGTATTTTCTACCAGAGATAGAGAACCATACATTTACATACCATACGTGGCCATACATTTACAATGATAACCAGCATATATATTTGTTCTCCGTGGACAGGGTTACTGATCTATTAGACAACACATAGCAATTTATTTTCTACCAGAGAGTACGTGGCCATACATTTACAATGGTAACCAGTATATATATTTGTTCTTCTCCATGGACAGGATTAGTGATCTGTTAGACAACATATAGCATAGCTAGTTATTGAGCACTCAACCACGGAAGGTGACTAGAGCGCTTTTGTGTGTTAAGTGAAGGGACAGGTTGATATTATTGTCAAGGGTGAGGCTATTTTGGCGCGGTACTGTTTTAATATTTTGGCGGGAAGCTGATCTTGTTCTATTACGTTCGTATTTATAGTTACATGCCTCAGTGAGGCTTTTAGCAGAATCAATATTTATCTTTTCTGACCCTGCAAATATATTTTACTGCTTTAGAACATGTTTTTTTTTAAATTGTGAAATGGAACTGATGGCCTAGGCTACTCAAGACAATTTTAATTATGTGTATGTTAACTGTGTAAGTAATTAAGCTCCAGCGTGAGGGGTTATAATTCCCAGTACTAGGCTACAACTCCACAGTCGCCCTCACTCTGGGATAGCATCGCATGACTCTCAAGCTGATATCATCCAAAGGCTTAGTTAAAGAAAAACAAAAGCACTGAAAAATAGCATAATCACTGTAACTTAAGGAGGAAATTTAAACATCTGATAAACACTTGGCAACTTTGATTGTTCCAGGGATGCCAAAGACCGCCATCATGGCCACCAACGTGGGTTAGAACTAATATATATATATATCAGTCTTTTATTTATTTATTTATTTATTCAATTGTTCTTACATTCTTGTAAAGCCAATAGCGCGCATAGCGTTTTGGGCAGGTCCTTAATCCTAATTTTCCCCAGAACACGATCCAACAAATCCTATAACAACCAGGTACCAATTCACTGCTGAGTGAACAGAGGCTACAGTTAAGGATTGGCGCCCAGTCAATCCTCCCCGGCCAGGATACGAACCCAGGCCAAAGCGCCGGGCGTGTGTCTTACCACTGCGCCACAGAGACTGCTTTATGAACTACGTAGTCTTACATTACGTAGTTTTGTAAGTGTGGTTTGATATCTCAGAGTGAAGAGCAAGGAGTGTGCTTGTGGTGCAAGAGTGGAGACCCTACTGAGGTGAGGACACTGGCGTAGGAGAAGAATAATCAAGGGAGAAACGACAAAGAAAATATCTCGATAGAAGAGGCGTGAGTATATGGAGGAGAGAGAGTGAAGACGGGGGAGAGGCATGGAGAAGAGAAAGAGGTAGGGGGGCGGAGGAGAAACGTGATCCTGGTCTGGTGAAGAAGAAGGTCACACGCCAAAGGAGGCTGACACATGCTTACTTATAATATGATACCCTGGGTGCTGTAACCTAGCCACTCCAGCACACGAGATGGGCATCTTATCTCTCTCTCTCTCTCTCTCTCTCTCTCTCTCTCTCTCTCTCTCTCTCTCTCTCTCTCTCTCTCTCTCTCTCTCTCTCTCTCTCTCTCTCTCTCTCTCTCTCTCTCGTGACTCGGACGTATAAGATACGAAAATTAGCAAACCAGATGAACCAGCCAAAATGATTCAGAGAGCAACAG